AATATTTGGTGCATATCTTCTCATGGAGTGAGAAGTTATCATTATAAAATATCCGGTTGTCCAAGCTTTAATGCTTGTGAAAGTCATGTTATTCTTGTCTGTTATGTGTGTTGCTTCTTTCCTTTGTTTTTGCCTGGTGTATGGTATATGACGCGTACTTTATTTTTAGCCTTTCTTTGTCACTTTTAGGTGTTGCTAGATTTTCTATCTCAATTTGATAGTCCCAGTTTTGGTAGGGAACTTAATCCCATTCACTATTTTTTGAAGTAACTGATCATCTGACTTTTTCTGTCATTTCCATTAGAGTTGCTATGGCTTATGCTTTGTTTCCTCATTCTCTACTTCCTTACTTTTGTAGGTTTTTTAAGTATCTTCATTTCCTGTTTTCCCTTTAATTTGGCCACTACCTTTTTCAGTGTTGCAGAGCCATACATTTGTCTACAACTTGTCCTGCACAGTGATGCTTTACCTCCCAAGGCTCCTTTGAGCCCACAGGATAACTCCAGAATACTTTCATCTCCCTCGGACACTTGAAATCTAGGAATTTTGCCAGCATAGTTGTGTATCTGTTTTAAAAATCAAATCTGGCTAAGCAATGGTGGGCCCTTTTGCTGTACCAACTCAGGTCTTTTTCAGATTATGGAAGTTCTCTGTTACTATTCTCCATCTGTAACTTTTCTTCTTCTGGAAGTCCCTTTATTAACATGTTAGTGTTCCAAGGAGTATTTTTCAAGTCTTTCCCTCCATGATTTCCATTTCTCCACTTGTTTTCCTCTTTGTTCTAATATATATCTTTTACATGATATTCCAGATTACTACCTTGACTGCTGCTAAGAAACAACATCCTTTTTGTCTGGGTCAGGGCCTGAACTTTCATTATTTTTCATGAAGTCTCTTCTATTAACTGCTCCTTCAGTGAGGGCAGCCCACTCCAGACAGTGGAATTTTCCCTTCCTCTCAGCTTCCTCCTTTTGTACAACGTCTGGCCCATTTTAGTTCTTCGGGAGCTGCAGCAGAGTAGTGAGAGGTGAATGGGAGAAACCCAAAAGTTTCTGCTGTTCCAGGTCAGGAGTGATAGCTGGCAAACCACCAGTCCTCTCTGAAGTTATGGGGAGGGACTGGTTGCAGGTCTCTCTGATGTGGGAGCGGGGAGTAACCCTCACCCAACCTCAGGGAGTGAGATACCAGGTGTTGGGTGCCCAGGACTCTGGGGTGTGGATTCAGCCCCTTCTTGGGGAATTCTCAGTTTACTGAGATCTGGTCTTTGCTCCAGGCTTCAGTGCTACTACAGTTAACAAGTTGTTATCTACACAAAGGCAGGACTAAAGAGAGCTAGAGATGCTAGGCTATGCTTTTCTCAGCAGGCTGTGTTCTGATGTGAGTCTGTCTGCCTGAGAGAAGGGCTGCCTTTTGATAATTTGTACAAGGAGGCTTTCTTCTTGCCAAGACAAGTATCCCCAGAACAGCATTCCACAAGGACTGTTCCATACCCTTACTTGGTCACTGGTGCCCTTCCCTCCTGTGTTGCAGTCCCTGATCTCTCCTGGTATGTAGGGAAAGCTAGTTCTGTTCCCTTTGTTCATTGTAAACTCAGTAGACCTGCAGCCTGAGGATGCCCACCCTCACAGTGTTCCGCTCCCATGGTGCTGTGCAGAAGAGGGTATTGGGATAGAGAGAGACAGTAGGGGGGAACTTGCTCTCAAGTGACATGGACCAAAATCAAGCACCCGTTGCCAGTAAATAAAAAAATTTGTTTATTTTCCTCCTAGACATTATTTTTAAAAAGTTGATATGTATAGTATAGCAAAATAAGAGAAGCAGGAAACATCTCAAATCCTACCGCTTAGAAGCAACTACTATTAATAATTCTCATCTTTTTTAACCTCTAAGATTAAAAAATGTATTTGATTAGGTAATACATGCCTCTGGTATAAAATTCAAAAGGAGAAAATGGTATGTATCCCCTCCTCCCACCAAACTCCCTATATTAAGAGACAAACACAACTATCAGAGATACCCCATTCGTTTACACATATTTGTAACATGTATGTGAATGTTTCTTCCCCCCACACACACACAAACGGTTGTATTCTCTAATACTGTTCTACATCTAGCTTAAAATTAAAAATATACTTTGAAGATCTTTTATTAGTGCATTGCCTTATTTAAAAGACTAGTTTCGGGCCTCCCCGGTGGTGCAGCGGTTGAGTGCTGGGTTGCGAGGCTGCCTGCAGTCTCTGCAGCGCTGGTTCGATCCCTGGCCACCTGCGAGGATCCTACATGGTGTGCAGACCTCTCCTGCCACCCGCTGCTCCCCTCAGCAGTGTATATCGTCGGTCTGCCTGTCTGCTCCCCGCTCTGGCTCTGGTGGGTTCTCTTGTCCTCCCGTGCTTCTAACTGTACCCAGTGCTTGTATAAATAAATAAACAAACAAACAAACAAATAAATAAATCTTTTTTTTTTTTTTAAAAAAGACTAGTTTCATGGCATCATTTTACTGATGTACCCATAATTTATTAACAAGTCCTTAATTCATGGACATTTAAACTGGTTCAGTATTTTACTGCTTATTTACTTGTTTTTTTTAAAGATTTACTTCTATTTTAGTTATGCATATAAAAACTGGGGTACAGGATAGAGGTGTGGGGGGCATGAGAGAATTCACCAGAGACAGAGTGGGGAACAGAACAGGTGGATCCACTGAAATACATTGCCGAGGGGATCAGTGGGTGAGACAGGAGGTCTGCTGTGGGTAGCTCTCTGGGCCAGGGATTGAACTCATGCCACAGTGGCTGGTGATCGCTTGATAATGCTGAGACCCCTGTGCCACCAGGGAGGCCCCTATTTTACTCTTTAAATGGTGTTTCAATGTGTATTCTTTATATACCTTTTTTTTTTTTAAAGATTTATTTATTTATACAAGCACTGGGTACAATCAGAGCGAGGGAGGGTGAGAGAATTCACCAGAGCCAGAGTGGGGAACAGAACAGGCAGATGGATGAAATACACTGCTGAGGGGAGCAGCGGGCGAGGCAGGAGGGGTCTGCCACGCCACGTGGGACCCTCGCCCAGAGGCCAGGGATCGAACCAGCGCTGCAGAGGCTGCGAGAAGCTCAACCGCTGCGCCTCCAGGGAGGCCCCCCAACAGAGTTTGAACCATTGCATGTCTACTAGTTATATACAAGTGGCTAGTAATGACTTGTTTCTGTTCATAATTGAGATTTTATTGGCTATGTACATTTTAAAAAATCTTAACATAGCAAAAGTATTTTCTCACATCAAAACTATTCATAAACAAAAATCCATTAAAATTATAAATGTTCAGGGCCTCCCTAGTGGCGCAAGAGATTAGATGCCACCTATGAAGCTGTACGCAGCCACTGCAGCACAATTTCGATCCCTGGCCAGGGAGCTACCCACATGGCGCAGGAGACCTCTCCTGTCTCGCCCGCTGCTTCCCTCAGCAGTGTATTTCAGTCAATCTGCCTGTTCTGTTACCAGCTCTGTCTCTGGTGAATCCTCTCACCCCTATACCTCTGGCCTGTACCCCAGCTCTTGTATGCATAAGTAAATAAAATCTTTTTTTTTTGAAAAAAGGTTTTAAAAAAACTATTTAAAAAAAGTATAAATGTTCATTGTAGAAAGATGACTTTACTAATCACTACTTTTTCAATATATATCCTTTGATATATACATTTATATACATATATGTAAATATATTTTTATGTATGTGATAAACATTTATTTGAGCATGTGTCATTTAAAATGGGATTGTACTATTCCTAACCAGTTTTTAAATTTAATATATCATGAACATTTTCTCTTACTAAATGTGATTAATCACTGAATTTTTCTACTGTTGCTCTTATAGATAATACTCTGATGTTCTTTCTGTATATAAATTTTGATTTTTTTAAGTATTTCCTTAGGTCACAGGTTATGAGTATTTTAAAAGCTCTTAATACATATTAAGAAGGCTGGGTTAAAAGAACACAGAAACATCAATTCCAAAGAGCACCTGCACCCCTATGTTTATAGCAGCACTGTTTACAATAGCTAAGCTTTGGAAACAGTCCAAATGCCCAAAAATAGATGACTGGATCAAGAAGATGTGGTACATATATACCATGGAATATTACTCAGCATTCAAAAAAGATAAACACATGCAATTTGCAGCAACATGGATGACGATGGAAGGGATCATGCTCAGTGAAATAAGCCAAAAAGAAAAAGAAAAATACCGGATGGTCTCACTCATAGCAGGGATCTAGAAAACTTAAATAAGGGACCAGGAAAATGAATAACTATAAGAAAGTGAAAATCAAAATCAACAAAAACTATGAACCAGAGACACTTTTTGGGGGGTGGGGGGCGGGAGGGGAGGGATTGGGGTCAGAATGGGGGGATTGCAATTGTATGGGGAATATAAAAAAAAAATTTATAAAAAAAAAAAAAAAAAAAGAAAAGATAGCAGATGAAGGGGCACCTAACTTGATGAGGTTGCCATTCCAGGAGAGAAATATGGAAGGTCAAATTGTAGGAGGCATGGAAGGGGAAGAACCAGACTCAATGTTCTGATTGGATTGGTACACTTTCTTCTCTTCAAAGAAACAAAGCAAAAGTAGGAACTCTTTTGGGGATTTGCAATCCCTTATACATAAGCAACAGTTACTAAGCAGTCTTTGAGTGTATTTGTTGGAGATTATGGTTAAATCAGGAAGTGTTTAAAATTATATACCTTGCTTCTTTGTTTTCCTGGGGCAGTAGTCATTAATATGCTTATTTCTCATCTTAACATATATGTTGCTACCTTATTATTGCTAAAAGCCATAGTTTTCTGTATCTTAACTTTCCTGTTACGCTGATTATAAAAATGCCCTTGATTTTTGTTCCTCTTCATTTTTTCCTAATGACGCCTTTGATTTCCACCTCTGAAAGCTCCAGTAACAGCCTTGACCACCGGCCCTTTAATACACTTCATAATGAAATTAAAACTAAATGAAATTCAAAAAAAAAAAAAAGAAGGCTGGGTTAGTGTCTCATCACACTAGCCACTGTTAGTGGCTTCTTGTCACACTTCATATAATGACTAGTAACTACTGACAAATTTTATTTATTTTATTTTATGTATTTTTTGCATCATTTTTCATTTTTGCACAATGTATGCATTTTCATCTTGGTTATAATCCCCATATATTTCCCACCCCTTTGTTGTAATCCTATTCCCTTCTTCCCCCCTCCCCTGTAGTGTGTCTCTGGTATATAGTTGCTTGTTAATTTTGATTTTTACTTTATTATAATTAAGTCTTTTTCCTGGTCCTTTATTTAGGTTTTCTAAATTCCTGCTATGAGTGAGGCCATCTGGTATTTTTCTTTTTCTTTCTGGTTTATTTTGCTGAGCATGATTCCTTCCAGCTCCATCCATGTTGCTGCAAATTGCATGAGTGTATCTTTTTTGACGGCTGAGTAATATTCCATTGTGTATATGTAGCACATCTTCTTGACCCAGTCATCTATTTTTGGGCATTTGGGTTGTTTCCATAGCTTTCCTATTGTAAATAGTGCTGCTGTAAACATAGAGGTGCAGGTGCCCTTTTGAATTAATGTTTCTGTGTCCTTTGGGTAAATACCTAGGAGTGGAATTGCTAGATCATATGGAAGCTCCATCTTTAGCAGACTGAGGAATCTCCACACAGCACTCCATGGTGGTTGGACCAGTTTGCACTCCCACCAGCAGTGCAGGAGAGTTCCTTTTTCTCCACATCCTCGCCAACATTTGTTGCTGCTAGTTTTTTAATATGTGCCATTCTCACTGGTGTAAGTTGTATCTCATTGTAGTTTTGATTTGCATTTCCCTGATTACAAGTGATGTTGAACATTTTTTCATATGCCTGTTGGCCATTTGCATTTCCTCTTTGGAGAAGTTTCTTTTTCTGCCCATTTTTTGACTGGGCTATTTACTTTGTTTTTGTTGAGTTTCATCAGCTCTTTGTAGATTTTTGTTATTAGTCCTTTATCATTAGTGTTATGTGCAAAAATTTTCTCCCAATCGGTGGGGTGTGTCTTTGTTTTGGTTACTGTCTCTTTTGCTATACAGAAGCTCTTTAATTTGATGTAGTCCCAGCTGTTTATCTTTGCCTTCACTATCACTGCTTTGGGTGATGTATCTTTAAAGGTTACTGGGGTGTATGTCATGTAGTGTTTCGCCTATATGTCCTTCTATATATTTTATGGTTTCAGGTCTTATGTCTAGTTCTTTAAAGCATTTTGAGTTGGTTTTTGTGCATGGTGTAAGGTAGTAGTCAAGCTTCATTCTTTTGCATACTACTGACAAATTTTAAATAGACATCCATGTATGGATTTTTGATTTCAGCTTTAGGGCTAATAGCTGTCAGTCTCTGTTGGCCCCCGGGGAGGCATTCAAAATAATGGTGACTGTCAGCAAAGTAGAGCAAGTTTGGGCTGAAAGACTGAATAAGCAGGCCTGTAACCGATAGCTATGGAGAGAACAGTTCAGCCTTCTTTGACAGGCAGAAAGAATACCCCTTGGACAATGCACACCAAGACCTTTTCTTTCAGGACTTTGACTTTTATGCAAGTCCCTCTGTAACACCTACTTCTTACAGGTCTCAGCATAATAGCAGGTCATCTTTTTTCAGCGTGCCAGATTGTTTACTATGTACCTTTAAGTATCATCTCCTCTCACTTGGTGCTGTTATCAGCCCTGTTTCGTAGATGAGAGACCTGGGGAAGGGAAAGATTATCACTTGATTACCACTTTGCATGTGGAGCCTGGTAATTCTGGCCTCTCACTCGGGGTCACTAGTTTGCAGAGCTGATGTTCTTCACTACAGCACTTTCCTGCCTTGGGCCATTCTTTGGACAATAACCGGACTTGGGAAGTAGCTTCCAAGCCAGAGCTCCGAGTGCTTTTGTTTGTAGTATACAGTTCTCTGACATCAGGTGCTTGAGTGTTACAAAAAGTCTAGATTTCTCTTCTTATTTCCTGTTCTATGCCTTAAAGACTATGAACTGAGGTATTTGATTTTGAGTCCTTTGACAGCAGGGCCTATGTCATAGCAGTCTCTGAGTAAAACAGTGCCCAGCACAATGATTGGCACTTGAGTGCCCCAGCTGGCAAGTTTTCTCTAGATTCAAGTGATAAATAGGCCACAAAGATAAAGGAATTATGGTTAAATTAATTCAATATAGTCTGCATGGTGACAATGTCGGAATATTGAATCATCCACATCTGTGAAGTGATTTCAGAGCACCTTTACATATATTTAAAATAGTAGTAGGTTCTGTGCTAGGCGGTTGTAAATTGTTTTTCACAAGTGCTTGAGAAGCTATCAAGATAGCCATTATTATCCTTGGGTTGAGGTTTTTTCCCCAAAGGAAAGAGCTAAAATTTGGCCTTAGTTAGAACTGAGCAGCATATGAGAGGTTACCCTATGTGGGATCTCCTTGGGCTCCAGACCAGGCCTTGGGCTACCTGGTCTTTGTTTCTCACTTTGTTCATTGGATCAGACACTCTTCAAGGCTTCAGAGGAAGTGCAGAGAGTTGATTCTCATGTACCGGGAGAAGAGCATGTAGAGGCGGCGGAACCAGAGGAGCTGGCTGCGGTGGCAGGACATGGCTCTCTAGAAGAATCAAGATCTGGTTAGGAATGCTATATTAGAACTGTTTCTGTTATTTCCAATTCTTGAATCCTTCCTCCCACTTGCACACCTCATGCTATACAGGCTTCTCTGACTTCCTCCTGTACCCTTGGCCTTCTCTGGATTGGCCTCCAATCACTGCTTCCTCCCTTTTAACTCCTGCTTACAAACCTGGCATAGTAGCAAGATGTGGCTTACAGCAGCTCGAGAGTGCTCAGTCTCCATGCATCAGCTCAATTTTAATGCTGTGAGGTAAATACTATTATTATCACTGTGTGTGTGTGTGTGTGTGTGTGTTTAATAATTGAGGAAACTCATAAATTTCAAATAGCTAATAGGTAGTAAAGCTGAGATTTGATGCCAGAGTCATCTGAATCTGGAGCCTACATTCTCAATCACTTGCTTCACTACCTCACCTCTGTAACACATACAGGCATGTTTGATGGCCTGCAAGCTAGAATATGGTGCTCAAACCCCTCTGAATAAGGTATGCAAGGAAAGTACAATCACTACTAGAAGAAAAAAGAATGGGTTCCCCTTGCCACTAGTGGGAGAAATGTTTATTATTTTGCTATTCAAACCTACCAGAATTTAAACAGAATAGATCATACAACTGATTCAACTAGATATAAGATACATAAAAGGTTTCTATTTTTCTCTAAGGACCATAATTAAACCGCCTCTCTAAGCTACTATCATTGCAAAACTTCAAGAACTAATTTTATATTCACTGTTAGAACATACATGACTTTCTGAGATATAAATATATGTGTGATAACCACATGCTTTAAATGATGACAAGAACTATCACTATCAGAGAGTCAGTCAAAATATTATGCAGCATTGTTTCAACAGAAAATACAATGAAATCTTTTAAATAAAAATTGTTTTCAGAAGCCAAATAGAGGCTAGCATTAAAATTTTGTCCTCCTTGCCACAGAATCTTTCTTAGCCCATTTTAAATGCTCCATGACCAACCTTGCTCCACTCTTACTGTAGTTTAGGATATTATCACGGACATACACCTGCTTACTAAGTCTACTTTGTTTCTTAGACCCCACACATTTCCCTGGGTTCATTTTTCTTCTTGCTGATGTATGTTCTTTAGTAATTTTTTTTAGTGAAAGGCTAAAGACAAATTCTCTTATCCTTTGAATGTTGGCATGGTCTGTTGACATGAATGTGTTTGGCTGGAAATAAAAGTTTGAGTTATTTTTCCTCAGCATGTTGGAAAAGTAACCCCCACCCTTAACTTTCAGTAGCATCTGTGTTGATGAGGAACCTGTTGCAGTGTACTTCATCTCCTTAATGGTAACTTTAAAGATTTCCCATGTATTTCTGGGTTCTGCAGGCTTATCATATTTCTGTGGTAGATTTGTCATAGTCTGTTCAGAATAAAATATAACCTTTACACTGGGGGCCCTTTTCTTTCAGCAATTCTGGAAAATCCTCACCTATTATCTCTATCCTGTATATGAAGACCCCTCCCTCCATGTTCTCCTTGGACTATTTTTTAAATTTTATATATAATATATATTATATGTAAAATATATATATAGGCCTCTTGAGCTATGCTTTGTGTCAGCTGTTCTTTCAACTTTTTTCTCTATTTCATATTTTGTTTTCATTTCCAAATTTTCTCATTTTTGTTTTATGCCCACCTATTATTTCACTTTTGGTTTTTTGATTCATAATTTCTTATCCTTTAAGGTAGATATGAGTGTTTATTATAGTCAATTTAGAAAGGAAAAAAAAATTCAAACCATTCTCTTAAGTTTTCTCAGTTTTATCCATTGCTGTTCTCTCTGTGGTAGACTTAAGTTAACTGGGGATTGCGCATACAAATGGGAGCAATTCTCCTCAATTGCCTTCTCTCTAATTCAGTTGTTCTCAGAATCATCTTCCTACAGACAGCTAAGAGTGTCTGTGGGCCTCACTAGGTCTAGCTTTTCCTCAATAGAAAATAGTGGTCTACCCCACTGGCTCTTTACAGAGATTCCTGGCGGGCCTGAATTCCTTTTGGGCTCAAGCTAGAGCACTGCTCCATGCGTGATAGAGAAAAAATGGTAAGTTAAAATGTCCACAATAAGGGATTTGTGATATACAATATATCCAGTGTTCCAATGTACAACAATATGAACACAGTATATTATTCCAATACAGTAGAATAATGGGCAGCCATTATAAGTCTAATACTTAATGGCATAGGAGAAAATGGCCATAATATGTTCTTAAAGAAAGCTTTAAATAGTAGGCACTGTTATCCCATTAAAAACATGTACATATACATTTATATGTATCCTTATAAGATATTAATATTCTTTATAGTGAGGACCCAACATGTTAACAATGTTGGTGGAATTGCAGGTAATTTTTATTTTTTAATTTTCTTCTTGAGGTTTTTATGTATTTCCACAATCAGCACATTATTAAGGCTTCTACAGAGGCAGGATTTTGAGAATAAGAGGGTCTGGGGCACAGATGTGGAGTTGGGGTGTCCAGGAATTTGCAATCCTCACCTTGGCCTGTGCTACTTCCTTGTTGGTGAGGACAAACAGGACATCCTGGGTATGAAGCAGAGAAAAGGGCAGGTCCAGAAGGGAGATGTACTTGCGCAGCACATTCACAGACTGAAGCGTGAGCACAGAGCACCCTAGTTGCCGGGAGGGGAGAAGGAAAAGATCTTGTTGCTTCCAAGCAGTTTTCCTGCTACACACACACACACACACACACTCTCTTTCTCTCTCTCTCTCTCTCTCTCTTTACTGTCTCTTGGGGCTTAGGGCAGGGTGGTGACCATGGAGTTGCCAGCAGACTCTGGCATCTGAGCTGCTCTCTGCCTATTTTTCTCATGGACAGGAGTGAAAGGGTCATAGAAGATCTGGTTGGCTGCCCTCTACCTGCTAGATGCCCTAGCAAGAAAGGGTGGGTTGCTAGAAGTCAGGATCTGGCTACCTCAAGACCGAGGAAAATTGGGTGGAGACAGAAACTTTTATACTGAAAGTTATACTGTTTCCTGCTAAGTTACTAAAGAACTGAGGCTTGGGGAAAAGCTAAGGGGCTTTCCCAAAGCCTCAGTTTCTCATCTGTAAAATGTTGTTGAGTGTGTGCCTGTCTCACAGGGTTGATTAAAGAATCAAATGAACTATAATTGCATTCCAAAGACCTCACAGCTTGGAAAGCTCAATAAACCCACTCAGAAAGGGCACACACTACTTATGTCTTCATTTGTTTAAGTTCCATATCACTCCTGTGAGGATGTTTATTATCTCCACTGGATGGAGAGGTTAAGTATGGCTGTCATGCAGTAAATGGCCATGGTCAGACACCTTCCTTTAGGTCAGAAAGAGCTCCTAACTCAAGCAGATTAACCCAACAAGCACCCATCATTAATAAGATGTCTAATTATTTGTGGGAGTGGGGTGGGCTGTGAGTTTGGATAGCAGAATGAAAGAATTCCAGAGGTAGAAAGACTGAGAAATCTAGACAAGTGAGGGAGCAAGGCCCTGTGTGACAATTTCATGTATCAACTTGACTGGGTCAGGAAGTACCCAGATAAATTCATGTATGTTCAACTATAAACAATATTTCTGGGTGTGTCTGTGACGGTGCTTCCAGATAAGATTAGCATTTGAATTGGAGGACTCAGGAGAGCAGATTGGTCTCTCCAATGTAGATGGACATTATATAGTCTATTGAGGGCCTAAACAGAAGAAAAGGCAGAGGAAGGGAAAATTTGTTCTTTTCTTCCTAATATCTTAAACCAGAATATTGGTCATCTCCTGTACTTAGACTGGGATTTACACCACTGGCTCTTCTGGTTCTCAGGCCTTTTGAATCAGACTGAATTACATCACTAGCTCTCATGGGTCTCTAGCTTGTACACAGCAGACCCTGGGATTTCTTATCCTCCATAACTACATGAGCCAATTCCTTATTAGGTAGATAGCACACATATGGAGGTTTACTTTATATGTGTGTGTGTGCGTGTGCATATATATATATACACAATTACGTGCGAGCTACATAATCTATTGGTTCTGTACCTCTGGAGAACCCTGACTAACATACCTGGCCTCCATACCTGGAGGCTGCCTTTTCTAGCAGGGCACTTCCCAATGGATATAACCTCATTCTGAGACCTGGGGCCTGAACCAATGGGCACCCTGAGCTGAGTTTGGAAGAGTATGCTCTGCTCCCTCACCCACCCCCCACCTCTGCTTGGTCTGGGGCAGCTCTCTGTATATTTATAAATTTCACCCCAAAAAATTTCTTAGAGGGATAGAAACTACCAGCCTTTTACAAAGGGGCCAGGCCTTACCTTTAGGTAACTTCCCTTCTGAGTGCAGGGTCCTGGAGGAGAGAAAGGATGAATGTGTAAAAGAAAGAATTCCTTTGTAGGTAATAAGAAGGGCCTTTAGGGTAAGGCCCACCACACCCTATGGTCCTCCATATAGGTTCCTAGATACTTTCTTTTGCCTAAATCACCATATAGATTTCTGGAATTCCATACCTCTGGTTACAGCTGAAGAGACCAGGCTAGGCCAAGGACACCTTAGCCAGGGACAGCCCATCTGGAGGCTCGTCAATCACTCCTCAAAGTTTTTTTCTTTTGAAATTGTAAGTATGATGGGAAAGTATTTAAAAATATTTATTGATATTTCTTACCTGATAGTTCCTTTCTCCTTTTTGACCTCCTCCACTGCCACCTCTGGCAGTAAAGGCCATTGTGTGTTCACTATATGGTGAGGAGGGGTGAGGGGTCCCACAGTGATGATTTGAGGGGTGGAGAAGTATAGGTAGATAGTTCTCACCTCACCCCCATCCCACAGATGTACATACTCATATGAAAAGCGATTTTTTGGAGCAGAAAAGAGAAGTTGAGAAGAATTGATAAACTTACAGGCTTAACTCCCTAGCAGAGCCCTGAGAAATAGGAAATATTGAAAACAGTTTCTGGGATCCTGCAGTCAGAGGTGCACTCTGGGTAGACATGCACTCTGGGTAGAGCCCTGGGAATATTCCAAGTTTGAGGTGGTGAGGATCTCGATGGAAATAGTTGGGAATGCAGGATATAAGTTAAGGAGAGAGGGGAGCTCTGGAGACAGACACCTGGAAATCACACTTAAAATATGGAATCCATGGGGGAATCTATACTGAGATGAGCCTGGGGCTGGGGAGGGAATGCTAGGAACAGGAGTATGGAAGGGTCTTCTGGTGGAGGGAAGTCTGGAAGAAACTGAGAAAAGGCCAGAGGGGACAGAGGAGGGAGGACAAGCTAACCAAGACAAGTCAAAGCAGCATGTGGCAGTCAGGGTCAAATGCTATAGACTGGTAAGGCCCAAAATAAACCTAGGGACCTTAGCCGCCAGAAAGTGATTGTGGAGAAAACAATTTTAGTAGTTTGGGAGTAGCAGGCAGGCAGAGAGGGAAGGAAGAAGAGGGGAAGTAGATAGATATGAATCCTTATACAAGGGAAACACATGTTTCCCCCTAAGCATTAATGCCTGAAGCCTCAGGATGGGGTGGGGAGCAGCTGCCCAGACTGAGGAGGGCAGTGCGGTCACAAATGGAGCTAAGTCCAGAGAGGGTTAAGGGAGGGGTGGCCCAGAAGATAAGCCTTACCCCCTTGTTGGGAACCTAAGGGACTTCCACTTGCCAGGTGCATAGTGGGAAGGACCACTAAGGTCCTGCAGATGTGTGGGTGGGTGGAGGCCTGGGGTCTGCTATGGAGAAAGCACCTGTGCTATGGAGACAGGCTGAGCCTGCTCAGAAGCAGGGAAACTGCTTTGGGCCTAGAAATGGAATGCCAGCTCCTTCTAAGAAATGCTTCCTACAACTATGTCACGCATGGTCAGCATGTGTGTTCCCTGGTTCTGTGATGTTTGATTTGTTTTTCCTGGCACACATGCTCTCCTGGGAATTTCCACAGTCAAGGAAACAACTGTCAGGAAAGAGTTCACAAGTAATAATTTCTAGCATCTTCTAGTAAGTGACATACAACTTAGGGACAAGACCGGAGGATCCTAATACTGGAGTGGTGTTCTCAGTTAGCAGATAGAATAGTGAATAGGCACCTAGAATTCCTGGATTGCATTCCTGCCTCTACCCTCGTGCAGCCTGGTAGCGCTGGGCAATCTACTGTGTCAATTAAGTAAGGTGGCTGAAATTAATAGTAGGTAAGGTCCTTTCCAACTTCACATATGTCCCCGCTTCAGTCTAATATTGGGCATATTTTAGAAGGTTATAAAATAAGTCCTTCACTTCAAGTTGCCCCATTCCTTCCTCAGTAGCTAGACTGGGCCCACTATATTGCTGCTCATTGTGCCCAGGAAAAGCACTTTTCTAAAGACAGGAAACACGGCATATGTTTGTATGACTCTGACTAAGTCACTCATATCTTTGAGGTTCAATTTTATTCTTAATGATAAAATGCAGCTACATCTCTGTAAAATAGGGTGACTGTGAAAAACAAATGTTATGTTCTCCATGTTCTGTATGTATACTTCCCCCCAAAGAAAGGTTTAAGATGGTGCATAGCAGATACAGAATAAGACAACAAGGTAAGTGAGAAATAGAGGAGAAAGAAGATGAAGCCAGGAGGCACAGTGATTCACAGAATTCAATCCTTAAAGTTTTATACATGTGCTTCAAAGGGGTGCAGACTGGCCCGAAATCTTTCTGTGACCAAAGCAAAGAAAGAAATAAAATCAGTTACCCCTTTTGCTCTATCTGTGGGGTAAAAAGCCTTAGCTGTTTAGGAGGTGAGAGACCAAACACAAGATTTGTGAGAGATTTCTCACAGGGGGGACATGGTGAGGTGCAGTGAGCAATGGTCAGTGTTTTCACTCTCTAATAACTCAATAGGAAGTTTCATGGGGTTCAGATAATGAATACAAAAGTGCTTTTGAGAACAAACTCTCTCCCACTTCCAACACCTGGAGACTCCTACCTCATGGCCGCATACAAAGCGACGTGATTGCTGTGGCCACTCACTCCCCCTGCATCGAAAGTCACCACCTGTAGAGAAATATAGGGTTTTCACTGATCCCTGTCTGAATACTTACTATACTGCCTCACATTCACGTAGTCATTCCCATCCCCTTGGGAAGTAAAGGAGATGCAGAACCATGAAGCTTTTCAAATGTTTAGGATATCTGAACTGACTTTGAAACAGACCATTGGTGTGTGACTCTTGGTTTGGTTGATTGAGTAGAGACTATTTCCCTGGGTTTTACTATTTACTCTTGTTCCTGGCCTTGGAACAGAGTGGAATTCAGCATGAGAGAAACCCAGGTTCAGAATATCTTTGTTCTTATCTGTGAGCCATTAGCACAATAAATTTCCCTGGCTAGCTGCTGTGATCATGTAGATGTCACCTGTTTAATTTGTCTCTTTACCTCATGCCATACTGAGGGCACAAAAGCTTTGAGGGGTAATGTCCACATGCCCTGGAGTTAACTCCACAGAAGTGTATCTATTCACAGGCTACCTCTGTTTTCATTTTCACAGATATGTCAAATCTGTTTATTAACTATGAACTTAATCTAGGTAGCAACATTTCATTTCTGCACAGAAGGAATATAAAAAGCCAAAGAATAGTTTTAGTAACAATAACAATAGATAGTTTGAATGATAAAAGAAAATAAGAAAGCAAGAACTCAGAAAAAAGGAATAGGCGTGGTTGGTTCAGGGTGACAGGAATGGGCAAGCTGTCCTCACGGAAAGAAGGTGACAGGGAATATAGACAAAAGGGTCCTGGAACCGGGAATGGAATCAGCAGGGTGGAGATCCACTATTAGCCTTTCCTTTTTCTTTTTTTAAGAATAACAAAATAGGGGCCTCCCCGGTGGCGCAGCGGTTGAGCGCTGGGTTGCGAAGTTGCCCGCAGCCTCTGCGGCGCCGGTTCGATACCTGGCTGCTCCCCGGCCACTGGAGGAGGATCCCACATGGCGCGCAGACCTCTCCTGCCGCCCGCTGCTCCCCTCAGCAGTGTACTTCAGTCCTTCTGCCTGCTCTGCTCCCCGCTCTGGCTCTGGTGAATTCTCTCACCCTCCCGCACTTCTGACCGTACCCAGTGCATGTATAAACAAAACAAAACAAGTAAATAAATAAATAAATAAAATGCCTCTATAAAAAAAAAAAAAGAATAACAAAATATATTTTGCTAAAACATAAGATCATGAAAATATCCAGACAAGTCATGCAAAATGGTCACAAGCTATTTTTTGAAGGGAGGACGTTACATGTGACAGCAAAGTCACAATGTTATTAAACATTTGTTCAATGTTCCCATTTTGGTTCAAACAATCAAGCTTGTCTACTTATGATGTCTAAATAAAGGTAGGCTTGGAATAGAGAGGATATTCTAGAGAATGGTTAGTTGTTTTTAACTAGTGCAACTAGATCACCATAGAAAGGGGAAAGGAACCCATAAAATTGAAAAAAAAAAAAAAAAAACAAAACAAAACTGCTTACCACTCCTCAAATAACAATAAGGAAAAACACCCCTGCAGCTAACCCTGACAACTACCTCCACTCACAGTGCTTTATACTGAAGCCATGATGGGGGAGCTGAATACAAGCAGAGAGCGGGGACTGTTTTTAAATGTTTTGCAGCAATCCAGATGATATTCCTAGCCTCTGCTCAGGCTTTACAACAGTGTATCAGGGCAAGACACAGATTTGCTAATGTGCATTTAATCACCAGAGGACTGAAGATGCCTAGGTTATTATTCTGTGTTTCTAAGACTGTCCATTAAATACAAAGAAAGAAGGAAGGAGTCTTGGCAGAACAGGAGAAATGATGCATACTTGATGATCAGATCGATTTAAATAGTATTCATGGCATGTAGCCTAGTCCGTGCTCTAGCTGTTTCCATGGCTTGGGCTTTGTTGGACTTCCACTGCTGCCCTATATCATTTGCTAATGGACCTCTGGATTAGAAGCACTTAACAAAGCCTGGATTGATTGATTGATAGCAGAACTGTGTAAATCTGCAGTGCTGGGGACCACTGCTCTTTCAAAATATCTAAACACATTCTTACGCTAATGGTTGATACTGGGTACTCTTCTGGAAGGAACAGTTCAAATTTAAAGTCTCTCCTTCAAGAGGAGAAAGAAGTAGGAACAGAGAAAATATTCAAAGAGATAATTGAAGAGAACTTCCCAAATGTGAAGAAGGAGCTGAAAATTGATATACAAGAAGCAAGAAGAACACCAAACTTCCACGACGAAAGAAAAAATACAGCAAGACACATAATAGTAAAGCTCCCAAGAATCCAGGACAAGGAAAAAATAATGAAGCTGGCAAGAGGGAAGAAACAGATAACATTCAAAGGAAAACCAATCAGGCTGACATCAGACTTCTCCGAAGAAACACTACGGGCAAGGAGAGAGTGGAGGGACATAGTCAACAGACTCCAAGAAAACAGATGCCAACCAAGAATACTCTATCCCGCAAAGCTCTCCTTCCTCTTTGAAGAAAGAATATGGACCTTCCCAGACAAACAGAAACTCCGGAATTTCATTGCAACTAAACCCCCACTCCAAAAAATACTACAAGGAGTCCTAAAGCCAGAACCTCAGAGGGACGAATAACAATGAAAGAAGGCCAAAAAAAAAAAAAAAAGTTATTAAAAGAATAAATAAATAAAATCAAAGGAAAGACAAACACAATGGCAAATACAGATGTTAACATATCAATATTAACTCTAAATGTAAATGGACTAAACTCTTCAATAAAAAGACACAGAGTTGCAGCCTGGATTAAGAAACAAAACCCAACCTTTTGCTGTCTACAGGAAACACACTTAGCTACAAAAGATAAAAATAGGCTCAAAGTTAAAGGATGGAAAACAATACTACAAGCAAATGGACCAAAAAAGAAAGCAGGAACAGCTATACTTATATCAGATAAAACAGATTTCAAACTCAAAAAGATAAAAAGAGACCCCAATGGTCACTACATTATGATCAAGGGGACAATATTTCAAGAAGAAATAACACTCATTAACATATACGCACCAAACGAAGGAGCACCAAAATATATCAGACAACTGTTGCCCTCTCTGAAAACAGACATCAGAGAAAACACATACGTAGTGGGAGACTTCAACACACCACTATCAACAATGGATAGATCAACAAGACAAAAAATAAGTAAAGAAACCAAAGCTCTAAATAAGGACCTAGAGCAATTGGGCTTAACAGACATCTATAGAACACTAAACCCCAAAAAAACGGAGTACACATTTTTCTCAAGCGCACACGGATCATTCTCCAGGATCGATCACATACTGGGGCACAAGACAAACATCAACAGATACACCAAGATTAAAATCATATCAACCATCTTTTCTGACCATGAAGGCATCAAACTAGAAATAAACCATAAAAAGAAGGCAAGGAACTTTCCTACCTCATGGAGATTAAAAACCACACTACTGGAAGACCACTGGACTAATGAGGAGATCAAAGAGGAAATTAAAAAATTTTTTGAATTGAACGACAAGGAGGACACCAATATCCTAAATGTATGGGATGCAGCAAAAGCAGTAATAAGAGGAAAATATATAGCAATAGAAGCTCACATCAAGAAACAAGAAAGAACTCAAAGAAACAACCTAATCTCGAAGCTCAAAGATCTAGAAAAAGAACAACAAAAAAACCCCAAAACCAGTAGAAGAAAAGAAATAATAAAACCAAAGCAGAAATAAATGAAATTGAAACTAAAAAAACAATCCAAAGATCAATGAAACCAAGAGCTGGTTCTTTGAAAAAATCAATAAAATAGACAAACCCCTAGCCAGGCTCACAAAGGAAAAAAGGGAGAAAGCACAAATAAACAGGATCATCAATGAAAGAGGAGAAATCACAACGGACACAGCAGAAATCAAAAGAATAATCAGTAACTACTATGAACAGTTATATGGAAACAAGTTTAACAATCTAGAGGAGATGGACAAATTCCTACAACTCTACAATCACCCAAAGCTAGATAAAGAAGAAATAGAACACCTAAACAGACCAATTACAATTAGCGAAATTGAAATGGTAATCAAAAACCTCCCCAAAAACAAAAGCCCAGGACCTGATGGATTTACAAATGAATTCTACCAAACATTCAGAGATGAATTAGTGCCTATCCTTCACAAACTCCTCCAAAAAATTGAGAAGGAAGGGACAATACCAAACACGTTCTATGAAGCCAACATTACACTAATACCAAAACCGAACAAGGACAACACAAAAAAGGAAAACTACAGGCCAATCTCCCTAATGAACACTGATGCAAAAATCCTCAATAAAATTTTAGCCATCAGAATCCAACAATGTATCCATAAGATAATTCACCACGACCAAGTAGGATTCATTCCAGGGACACAAGGATGGTTTAACATCCGAAAATCAATCAACGTTATCCAACACATCAACAAAAAGAAATATAAAAACCATATGATAATATCAATAGATGCTGAGAAAGCTTTCGACAAAGTGCAACACCCATTCATGATAAAAGCCCTTGAAATTCTTGGGATACAAGGAACATACCTCAACATCATAAAGGCCATCTATGACAAGCCAACAGCCAGTATCATTCTCAATGGTGAAAAGCTGAAAGCAATTCCATTAAGATCTGGAACAAGACAAGGATGTCCACTCTCACCACTGCTTTTCAATATAATACTGGAAGTCCTAGCCAGGGCAATAAGACAAGAGAAAGACATCCAAGGAATCCAAATAGGAAAAGAAGAAGTCAAACTATCACTATTTGCAGACGATATGATATTATACATAGAGAACCCCAAAAACTCCACAGAAAAGCTAATTCAACTCATCAATCAGTTCAGTAAAGTGGCAGGATACAAAATCAACACGCAAAAGTCAGTAGCCTTCCTATACACAAACAATAAATCTGAAGAAGAAGAAATCAAAAAAACCATCCCTTTTGTTATTGAAACAAAAAAAATCAAATATTTGGGAATCAATCTAACAAAAGAGGTAAAGGACCTATACAAAGAAAACTATAAAACACTGTTAAAAGAAATAGAAGAAGACACAAAGAAATGGAGAGACATCCCTGCTCGTGGATTGGAAGAATAACATTATTAAAATGGCCATCCTTCCAAAAGCAATATACAGATTCAATGCTATTCCAATCAAAATTTCAATGTCATTCTTCAAAGAAATAGAACAATTATTGATGAAATTCATATGGAATCACAAAAAACCCCGAATAGCCAAAGCTCTCCTGAAAAAAAAAGAAGGGAATGGAGGCATTACACTCCCAGACTTCAAACTATACTACAAAGCCATAATCATCAAAACTGCATGGTATTGGAACAAGAACAGACATACAGACCAATGGAATCGAATAGAAAATCCAGAAATAAACCCACAGATTTATGGTCAACTAATCTTTGACAAAGGAGCAAAGACTATGCATTGGAGCAAAGAAAGTTTGTTCAATAAATGGTGCTGGGAAAACTGGGTCGCTACATGCAAAAGAATGAAGCTTGACCACTACCTCACACCATACACAAAAATCAACTCAAAATGGATTAAAGAACTAGACATAAGACCTGAAACCATAAACTATATAGAAGGAAATATAGGCGAAACACTACGTGATTTGCACATCAAAGACATCTTTACAAACACATCACCCAAAGCAGTGATAGTGAAGGCAAAGATAAACAGCTGGGACTACATCAAATTAAAGAGCTTCTGCACAGCAAAAGAGACAATAACAAAAACAAAGAGAAACCCCACCAACTGGGAGAACATTTTTGCACCCAACACTAATGATAAAGGACTGATCACAAAAATCTGCAAAGAGCTGATGAGACTCAACAACAACAAAGAAAATAATCCAGTCAAAAAATGGGCAGAAGAGCTAAAAAGAAACTTCTCTGAAGAGGAAATGCAAATGGCCAACAGGCATATGAAAAAATGTTCAACATCACTTGCCATCAGGGAAATGCAAATCAAAACTACCATGAGATACCATCTTACACCAGTGAGAATGGCACATATTAAAAAAACTAGCAACAACAAATGCTGGCGAGGGTGTGGAGAAAAAGGAACTCTTCTGCACTGTTGGTGGGAGTGCAAACTGGTCCAACCACTGTGGAAAGCTGTGTGGAGATTTCTGGACCTACTAAACATAGAGCTTCCATATGATCCAGCAATTCCACTCCTAGGTATTTACCCAAAGGACACAGAAACATCAATTCCAAAGAACACCTGCACCCCTATGTTTATAGCAGCACTGTTTACAATAGCTAAGCTTTGGAAACAACCCAAATGCCCAAAAATAGATGACTGGATCAAGAAGATGTGGTCCATATATACCATGGAATATTACTCAGCATTCAAAAAAGATAAACACATGCAATTTGCAGCAACATGGATGGCGCTGGAAGGGATCATGCTCAGCGAAATAAGCCAAAAAGAAAAAGAAAAATACCGGATGGTCTCACTCATAGCAGGAATCTAGAAAACTTAAATAAGGGACCAGGAAATTGAATAACTATAAGAAAGTGAAAATCAAAATCAACAAAAAACTATGAACCAGAGACACTTTTAGGGGGGTGGGGGCGGGAGGGGAGGGATTGGGGTCAGAATGGGGGGGCTGCAATTGTATGGGGAATATAACAATAAAATTTATTATTAAAAAAAAAAAAAAAAAAGTAAAGTCTCTCCTTCAGAGGGGGAACCCCGGATGTAAATAGCTAGGAAAGATCTCTAAGCAAGGTGTTGTCAGTTATGGTTTTGTGATGAGCACTCTCTGGAGCTTGGGCCAATTCTTAGAGATACTTAGATGCCACATTATACTCCATACCTTTAAGGACCTTACAGTCTTGTTCACAAGACACGGCCTGTCCTTAAAGGATAAAAGATGTAAGGCACACAACAAGCACTAGTAGTAGTTGTTCATCCTAAAGGGGACTGAAGAAGTCAGGGAAGGCTTCTTGGAGAAGACAATCTTATCTTAAGCAGGCCTGTGTTTCTTGGACACAAACTTTGAAAACTCAGAAGAGAGCAGGCATGGCATGCACAGCAGTGTGTGCTTTAAAGTTCCGGGCCTTCCCCGGTGGCGCAGTGGTTCAGCGCTGGGCTGCGAAGCTGCCCACAGACTGTGCAGGGCCGGTTCGATCCCTGGCCACCGGCGAGGGTCCCACATGGCGCACAGACCTCTCCTGCTACCCGCTGCTCCCCTCAGCAGTGTACTTCGTCAGTGTTCCTGTTCTGTTCCCCGCTCTGGCTCTGGTGAATTCTCTCACCCTCCCGCGCTTCTGACTGTACCCAGTGCTTGTATAAATAAAATAAATAAATCTTGGAAAAAACAGTGACTGTAAATTTAAAAAAAAAAAAGTTCCTCCCTGGCTATTCAAAGCCAAAGCCAGGTGGAACATAAGCTAAAAAAGAAGGCCCCTCAGCAAGGACTTAAAGTCCTTGGACTTAAGTCCTGTTCACTAGACTTAAACAAGGGCCAGAACAAAGGGGCCAAGTTAAGGAAGATGGGAGTTAATCCTGCAAGCAGGTATTACTGGGGAGATCAGCCATTCTTATGCACTAAAACAGGGAAGGAAAGAAACTATTTATTTGGGGACAGGTCCTGAGGAAACCACTACCGTGGGAAAATGGCGTAAGAAGGGGTAGTGCAGCACACTTCACCGACCTGCTGCTTTACTTCAGGCTGGCCCTGAAGACCAGCTCTGTCTACCTGTCTAGATTGTAGAGCTTCGAGAAGTTCTGACAGTGGGCTGGACATTTGACTTCTAAATTCTTGGGCTGAAAATGGCTTCATACTCAGCCCTCTGGGAAGGTAAAGCTGAGAGGTGTAAGCTGCTGATCACCACTTTTCCAGTCAGGAAAAAACAATGAAGCCAGTGCACAGAACAAGATGGTGAAGAGTCCTAGAAGGGTCAGGTACCCCCTTTCTGCCTGTGTGGACAGTTCAATAGTTCAGTGAAAATCTGCTCTTAAGAAAGGTCTAATAAATCAGTTTACTCAGGGACTTCAGTGATAAAAGTCTAACATGATCTCTGCCAGCAGGATTAATTTTTCAATGAGGATTGATCAAAACTTAAACTAAAAGATTAAGGCTTTAAATTGTTGGAACTTTAGGTTTTAACCCATTAAGGATTACTGTTATAATAATTTATTACTTTAGAGGTAGACAGCTTTCCTGGAAGCCTTAAAATCAACCACTGGGGAGGGCCAGTCCAGTGGATCCCAGTAGAGCTGAGATAGGTGTCCCCAGACCTGGCCATCTCTGCAAGTAAATGTAAATCTCCACTACTGCTCTAACTGTGACCAAATGTCCCAAATGTCCTCCCTATAGTGGGTGATGAACTTATCCTCATGTTATTTGGAGTGAGAAATGGAGGCTTACAATTTTAGCTTCACCACATGCCTACTTGGATTAGCTACTCAGACTCTGGAGACCTCAATTTTTTCAATGTAAAATAAGAATTAAAACAATGTTTACCTCTAAAAGTGAAAACGCTTGGTAAAAGGTGAGGCTGTGTATAAATAAGAATCACACCACAGGCTCCTGGGGACCTGCGTTTTTAGGTTCAGGACAGAGGTGGGGAGTGAGGGGTTAGAGGACAGTTTGGAAAAAACCTCTTCCTCTACAAGAGCGCTGATATTTTAGTTACTCAGTCTCACAAAAGGTATGTTTGTTCCTGAGTAGGTTTAAGGGAGTGCACTGGAGGTTTTGGCCTCCTTTTAGAGTGGCCCTTGAGAAGGACTGGCAGAGGTAAGGTGGACACTACACAGGTGTGCTGGCACCCTGGGCTTTGCATTCTGGGAGAGTGTCTCCTTACCAGGTTGATGTCATTCACTTCTATGTGCCGTAGAAGGATACTGGCCACACGATCTGTGTCCCACTGTACATCTGGGTCATCTGGGAAGTCCCTGGGAGGGAGAAGCACAATTTGAACACCATTTTGAATCAGGCGCTAACTTCTCCCTTTGAACAACTTCTCCCTGGGGAGAACTCCATAGGCTGTGGCAGTGTGCCAGTTTTGTGATAGGAATTGTGTGCGTGGGTGGGGTCTACCTTTAAGTATCTAGATTTCAGTTAAATAGATAAGATTTAGAAACATGGCTCAACTAGAAATTGATGCAACACACTTCTGGAGCTTAGTGCTTATTACTGAAGGGAAGAAACGCATCAATGAGATAAGGCTCAGCTGACAATTTAGGGAGATCCAGGGGTAAACTGGAAATCTGGACACAAGGCAGAATGATAGGTATTTTTGTAAGAGTAATACTAATAGCACCTTAATAAAAAGTACAAAGATGAGGTAGCTTGCTTGCTTTACAGATGAGGTAGCTTGCTTGCAAAGTTGTGAGCATTGGATTTAAACCAAGGTTTCTTCCTGCTCTCTTGTGTTTACTGCAGTACTATTTATAATATCGAAGCAATGGAAACAACCTAAATGCCCAAAAACAGATGAATGGATCAAGATGTGATATACATAACACAGTGGAATACTACTCAGTAATCAAAAAAGATAAACTCATGCCATTTGCAGCAACATGGATGGGAGCTGGAAGGGATTATGCTCAGTGAAATAAGCCAGAAGAAAAAAGAAAAATATCGGCTGGTTTCACTTGTAGGAGGAATGGGGGAGGGAGACAAAACTTGCAGGCAAACTATAGATCTGAGGCATACAGCAGGGCAGGGAGCGAGAAGGGGGTAAAAACAGAAGAGGGAAGAGCACAAGGGACTCTGGTGATGAATCACGGGTACTATGGTGGTGGGAGAACTAGAAAGGCTACAACTGAGTGGGAAAAGCAAATACTGTCAAAAAAATGAACAATGATACAAGAAAATAAAAAAAAAATTAATAAAGGAAAAAAATAAATTAATTAACTCAGGTCTCCTGACTGCAAAGCCAAGATATTTAGCAACACCCCCCCACCTCCAATCGCTGATCTCAGGAGCAGAGATCCCTGCCAGATTGATCTGCAGCTCATCAGTAGTCCACTGGTTGCGTGGGTCCAGAGGATAGTAGGGAGGGACTACTACTTCCTCTGTAGGGAAGGACATGGAGGCCACTGCTGGCAAGCAGGACTCAAGGCTCAGGGAAGGGAGACATGGCAAGGGTTAACAAACAGCCCCACCCCAGAAGCACAAGGATGGAGTACTGCTCATGATAAAGTGCTCCAGAGTTATCAGAGGTGATGTGGTAGAGGGCTCAGCAGGCAGGATGACAGAATGCCTGAGTTCCGTGCCACATGGGCATGAGATGTGTCATCTATCAAAATGAGATAGTCCCAGGCTATACCTGGAGTATTGCCAACCAGGGAAGCTCACCTGAGCTTTGGTTTTTCAAGGTTTTTATTGGGGTTCCATTAATATGCATGATTGATTGAGTGATTGGCCATGAGGTTGGTTTTAGCCTCCCTGTAGATTGATACTGCATGGCCCTAAGTGCCCACCTTAAGATCTACCTACCCCAAATAAAGACATTGCTACCAGGCATGACACAAAAGCCAAGGACAAAGGCTAGATCTCTCTAGCCAAATTCTTTATACCTTCCTTATATTTAGGAACCTTACTGAACTATTCTGTCAACTATGGCTTGACCCTCCACTTAGTACCTAATTAGATATAGTAATCTATTATTTTCTATTATTTTGTGTGTTTCCCTACCTAAAATCAAAATATGAAGGTAGACTGATGTCTTACTCTTCTACTTCTCATGTAGTACTTACTATAATTCAAGTCAAAGAACAATTTATTTAAATAAAAAGCAACAGTGTATAACTGAACTTCTACAATGTGCAAGGCACTGTAAAGAGGCTACTAGGCACTAGTTGGTTGATAGTAGTTGTCTCTATTTGAGTCAAAGGCAATTATAGCAGCCTTGTGGGGTTAGAACATACAAGCACTTTGGAAGATAGCAACATTATGAACAGACTAGGGATAAAAAAGTGTATGAAGTAGGGAGGGGAGCAAGTCATCCCAAGGGGACAAACCTCCCTTCAAAATAGGAAACTATAAAAGTTGATGCTGGGAAACTTGAGATAAATGTACAAAAAGTGGGCCTTCCTGGTGGCGCAGTGGGTTGAGCACAGCGCTGTGAAACTATCAGCAGCCTCTGCAGCGTTAGTTTGATCCCTGGCCAGGGAGCTACCCACACGGCGCAGCAGACCTCTCCTGTCTCGCCTGCTGCTCCCCTCAGCAGTGTACTTTAGTCTATCTGCCTGTTCTGTTCCCCACTCTGTCTCTGGTGAATCCTCTCACCTCCCATACCTCTGGCCTGTACCCCAGTTCTTGTCATCATAAATAAATATTTAAAAAAAGTGACTCCTTTCAGACATGCCACCAGAGTTGTCCTTTGCCTAAAGTTTAATCCTAATCAATTTAAAGCCTGAGTGCAAGAAATCTTTTGTAGTTTCTTCTTTTCTCTGATCTATTAACAATTCTGCGTTAGATAAACAAGCTAGCAGAATGTAAACAGAAGTGCTGTGAGTCAGCCTTTGGATTCTAAAGAGACAGTTGGTGAATGGCCTTTGCCCCACTTTTCTTTGTGCTGTCCCTTTTCGTGCTGGCTGAAGTTTGTAGGAGTTGATTAGAACGAAGTAGCCACGTTGGCCCATGGAGTAATCTTAGGTATAAAAGTGAGACACAACAGAATGAAAAAAAGGAGGGCCCTTACTGGGACTTGAAGCATGCAACTACCCCTCCCACCCTGACAGTGTGATTTTCAGTTGTGTGCTGCCTAACAAAGACCTGATTTATTTTATATGCCATAATTCTTTAAAAGTCTCATTTGTATTGATTATTTAGGTGGTTACCCTTTTTGTTATTGTAATAAGGGTGTAATAAGCGTCCTTATATATAATTTTTTGTGTGCATCTGTCCATATTTCCTTGGGATAAAATCACAGAAATGTAATTTGAGTCAGGGGTCAATGAAGGAACATATATAGAATTCTGTTAAGAACCTGTTATGAAGAGTAAGTGGAAAGTATATTAAGTTGCAAGAAATTCAGCATCAAGGGAGTGTTTTTATAAGGGAGAGAAAGAGACCTGTGCATTTAACAGGCTGATCAGAAAGACTAACAAGTACTATCAAGAGCTCTGATCTTTCTAAAAATTTCATATATATATATATTTTTTAAAAGATTTATTTATTTATGCATACAAGAGCGGGGGTTTAGGCCAGAGGTGTTGGGGGCGAGAGGATTAACCAGAGACAGAGTGGGGAGCAGAACAAGCAGATGTATTGAAATACACTGCTAAGGGGAGCGGCGGGCCAGATAGGAGAGGTCTGCTGCATCTGTGGGTTAGCTCCCTGGCCCAGGATCGAACTTGTGCTGCAGTGGCTGCTGATAGCTTCATAGTGCTGAGACTTAACCCCTTGTGCCACCAGGGAGGCCTTCATGTATATATTTTGATACCTACTTTCTTATGAGCTCCCTGAAGAGTCCAGATCATTTACCCCCTTTTACAGTTGTGAAGACATGCCTAGAAAAGAACTACATGCATTATATGTGGTGTTATACAGACACTAATGGGGCTGGCTCACTGGGAATATATACTATTACAAAGATTCCAATTTTGTTGACCAACTCTTCTCCTTTGAAGTCATGTGTATAATTCAAAGTTGATCTTAAAGCAGCAGTCAAGCCTCAAAGAGTAGTCAAGCTTTTCATTTTAAAAAACACCTGGTGGAGCCTCCCTGGTGGCACAAAGGGTTAAAGACCAGCATTGTGAAGCTATCCGCATTCAGTGCAGCATGATTTCTATCTCCAGCCAGGGAGGTGACCCACATGGTGCAGCAGACCTCTCCTGTCTTGCCCACTGCTCCCCTCAGCAGTGTATTTCAGTCAATCCGCCTGTTCTGCTCCACACTCTGTCTTTGGTGAATCCTTTCACCCCCCCACACCTCTGGCCTATACCCCAGTTCTTGCATGCATAAATAAATAAATCTTTAAAAAAAATAAAGAACACCTGGCATTGTTCTTTCCACTTGACGCAAATGTTAACCATGCAATGGATGTTGCAGCCCCAGACCTGCATTCTAAGCTGTTTCTTGCTGTTTGATTCCCCAACTCTGGCTCTGATATAGCCTACAGCAACCAGTAATAAAGTAATTTAGAGTTAGGAAATTAGAGTTCCTAGAAACTTTTAATATTTAGCAAGGTCCTTCAGGGCTTTTATTGCAATGTTAGAGTATGGAAATCTCTGGGATGTGTCTGGACAAGTTTGCTAAGATGTAAAGCTGAGTAATTCTGGCTGAAACAGATGGATATGGTGGACTGTACCCAAGTTTCTGGCCAGATTTAGCCTTATAAAAGCAGAGATGACAACGCAAAAGAGTTGAGAATGAGAATAATCAAGGATTGCATCAGTCAGTTGGTGAATCTTCCTTACTTGACATGCCTCTCTCCTTTCAGAATTCCAGTATGTAGATCTCTCAACTCAGCAATGATAAAACTCGCTAAAATATACAGCAAGTCACACCTTGTACTAAACTTTCTAATTTAGAGACCCATGTTTTTTTTCACTCCTTCACTCTACATCTCAAATCAACCAAGTGGATTTTCCTGATAAGAACCCACCAATGGTGAGCAGGGAACAAAGGTGGAACTTCCAAGGTGATTTACAAAGGCCGTCTGAAGGACTATTTAAAACATTAAAAAGGTCTATTAGGATTATTTGAAAATAAGCAACTTACAAAGGAAAAAATGCAAACTACCAGCATATATTCTGGATCAAAGAAATTAAAAATTAAAGCATGTGTGTGTTTGTGTGTGTGAAAGGGCACAGGGAGAAAGGGAGAGGGACTCTGTTTATACTGCTGGTATGCATTTAAACTTCTCTATTTCAGTGACAAGGCAATTTGGTCATATGTGATTATTGTGCCATTTGACCCTAGGCTTCTAGAAACTTACTCT